GCACCGCATTTCTGCACAACCATGGCACGGATCGTGCTCCACCCACAGCCCCAATTGGTGCGCCCACAGATCCCGCGGCGCAGTCTGTGAGGAGAGGGTCGCTCCCAGCGCTACACGCAGGTGCATGGGGGGTGGGCCCTCTGCCGGGCTGATGTTTTGACCCTTGCCAGCTGCTAGACGCCTCCCGAGGCCTCTGAGCGCCAAGGCCTTTCTCACCACGAATCCAAAAAAAGGTCTACATTCGGTCCTTTGGGCCCGTCCCGCATACGTGGAGGTTTGCGCCGGAGGACGGGCAAGGCCTTCGGGCGCTGAGCCTCTCCCGCCTGCGGGGGGCGGTGTGGCGGCCGGCCAATTGTCTGGTCCGCGCGCCTCTCTCCGCCTCTCTCAGGGGCCCCTAGCCTGGGACGTGTGCGCGCCGTGGGGCGGCACGAGCGTGGATTGGCCTCTCGATTCGGTCGGCCAGCCTGGCGAGTCTCAGAAAAAAGAGGACCCGTTTCCCTCAGGACCCTTGTCCGCCTCGGCAAATCATGGGGCAGGCCTAAGACAAAAGATGAATCGTTCTGGAACGTTTCGGAAAGCTCCCTGAGGGTTCCAGAGCGCTTTTGAATGGCCGCGATGCCCGATACAACCTCTAGACCCGCAGTGTCTCAAATGTTCCCGGGTTATCTCAATCCGATGTCGTCTTCCTTTTGCTTCCGTCTGACCAGTCAGAAGGGGGAGAGGAAGGATGGGGCACAGGCAGCGGGAGTTGATGGAGGGAGGGAGTAGTGGAGGAGGCAGTGAGTGCATGCATGGATGGAGGGATGGGAGGGACGTGGGGAGGCGGGGGATGGGGGAGAGGCAAAAAACGGTGAGGTGGGAACGGGGGGCGAGAGGCGTGAGGGTCTTCGGGCTGAGGAGGCGGGGTGGCACTGGCACGCGGGGCGGGGGTCCTCTCTCCTCTGAGGCACCGGCGGTGGCAGCGACGCCACGGGCCATGCCCCGGCGCGTGCGGGACGCAGCCGCTGCGGCGCCGGCTGCGGCGCTGCCGCAGCAGGCGCCTCGCCGCGCCCAGGCGGCTCTGCAGGAGGCCCCGGTGCGAGCCGGCTGCCTCCAAGGGTGCTTGGAGGTGCACGTGGAGGTGTGTCCCTGTTTGTGGCCGAGTCCTGGAGTGCTGCCCACGCTCCCACACAGGGTGGTCGAGTCACTTTCGCTTACGGCGGGTCCCGCCGTGTCAGCTCGACCCGCCGACTCCATCCATCAGCCCGCCAGAAGGACACTTGTGTGTGTGTGTGTGTGTGTGCGTGTGTGTGTGTGTGTGTGTGTGGTGTGTGTGTGTGTGGAGGTGTGGTGGTTCTTCTTGCGCCTCCCCTCCCTTGCCATCTGGCCCATGAGGTCGTTCCCTGCCCTCGGGCAGTTCCCCCTTTGGAACTCTCTCCTCCCCCTTTCGTCCTTCCCCGCGACTGCCCCCATCGCCAGTACTGCTACGTGGTCCCCCTGTGGGCGGACCAGTCATCTCCCCGCTGCGTGGGCCGAGCCAGCCCTCGCCGTGGACCCTGTGTATCCAAACGAGGTTCCAGTTCATGTCACGCTGAAGGGTGCACAGAGGAACGCTCACCACGCAGTTCTGTGGTAGTAAGTCGCGGAAGGTTAAAGCCGTCTTGCGTTCAAGGCGTGTCGGCGAACCGCCTGCGCACCGCGCCCGAGGGCGCCCCAAAGCGCCCAGCAGTGCCCAGTAGCGCCGGGTAGCGCCTAAACTGCGCCCAGTAACGCCCTCTCTCTCTCTCTCCTCTCCCTGTGAACGAGATGCTTCGCGTCCGCTTTGCGCGCCACTGGACGCGCTGCCGGGCGCCATCTGCACGACCGAAGGCTTCCGTGCGCTGCCGTCCTCAGGGGGGGGCCGCTGGGAGCCGCCCAGCCCGCGCGCTCGTGGCCAGCTCCAACGCAGGCGGGCGCCGTGCCCTCGAGAGTGGGGCGGCCGCAGCCGGGGGCTTGGGCGCTTCGGGTGACGAACGAGCAACACACACCCATACCCATAGGAGGGTCGTTGGGAGGAGGACTGGCTATGGGTACGGGTGCGGGTTGTCGGACACTGGGGAACGCTCCCGTTCGAGCGGGGACCCCCATCCGACAACACGCACCCATAGTCCTCTCCGACCCCTCTATGGGTATGGGTGTGTGTTGTTGGTTCGTCATCGGCGGGGGAGGGCGTCGGGGTCCGCTGCTGGAGCGTCACGGCTGCCGTGGCCCTCGGCCTCGCTCGGACGCGTGCATGTTTCCTTCGGCGAGGACCGGACCATCGAGGAGCATCCTTGATCATGTCGCGAAAAAGCCACGCACGAAACCGACAAAAAACACAGGAAATGGACGTCCGAGCGATGGCCAGTGGCCGCACGGCGTGGAGGCCCGCGTGCGAGCGGCGCGCGAACTCTTTGGCGGGCAGAGGCGCGGGCGGCGAGCGGAGGTCGGCTGTCCGGGCAGGTCCACCTCGGTCGTCCCGATCCAGCTCGATGTCTCTTATCTTGTGGAAGTCGATCAATGGAGCTGCCAAGTACTTTCCAGATGTCAAAAAATGTTTGACACATTTTAAACACATTTTTGATTCACTGATAGGATTGTTAGAGTGTCCATTGTCATGGCATCCACAACAGTGATCTGATGTTAGCATGGCGTTGTGATCCGTCCTGGCGCGCCCCATCCGATTCGATTTCGACTCCGTGCCGATGCAGCCCGAGCCGACGCACGTTCCGATCCCACCCGATGTGTTGATTTGACGCTTGCTCTTCATCATATCCATGCCTCGAGCACCGTGCGGAAGGAACGCATCACGGACTTGAATCTTGAGGCGAACGACCTTGTTTCGCCTCTGGCGCGGAACGGTCGTTGCCTGGGCCAGGCCCCCAACTCCGGGTACAGTCAACGCGCCTAGTAAGGACGCGCGCCTTCATCTAGGGTACCCTTGTGTCCTTGCCTCTGAGGCTCGTCCTTGCCATTATCACTGGTCGCCCGCCGCCCTAAAAAACCCAACTTCGGCCTCCAAGGGTCTTGCGTCCTTATCACCCGTCCTTAATATACGTTTTGACTGTAAGGGTACGGACCGTACGCACGGTCGGGAGGGCCGGGACGCCCCCGACGACATGCTGGCGACCCCGCGCGCCTGCCACGGCGATGGCAGCGCACCCCCCCCGCCTCGACGTGCCCAACCCCGCCCGAGCGTGGCCTTCCCACGAGGCTCCCCCCTCCCTCCCTGGGCAGCGCGACCGTTACCGGAAACAATGCAGCCTCCTCCTCCTCCTCCTCCTCCTCCCCCTCCTCCTCCTCCTCCTCCTCCTCCTCCTCCTCCTCCTCCTGATTTACCCCCCTAGATGGGGATTAGGCAGTCGCCGCTCGTCGTTGGGCACAACAGGCTTCGGCCGATCTGGGCACCTGCCAACCTCACCTGCCGTGGTTCGAGTCCTGTCTCGAGCGTCGACGCCGCGCTGGTCGCTCCATGTGGCGGAGTTGAAACGTCCACCGCACCATGACCAACACACACACACACCAGTGGGCGCAGGCAGCCGTGCAAGGCTCGACCGCGAGGGCAGCCGTGGAAGGATTGCGCTCCGGCGTAGGGCAGCGCCCAGGAGCCTGGAGTTGTGATGGTCCAGCCTACTGTAGCCTGGATCACCAGAAAGAATTTCGAGCACCAGGAAAGTACCGAAACTGGAGGGTTTTCACGTGTCGGGCCCTGCGATACACTCGTTCGACACTGTTTCGACACTCCTTCGACACTCTTTCGACACCTTTCCGGGTGTTCGAAATTATTTCTGGGATGTGGTCTTTAAGTACCATGGGAACAGCATAAGGCTGGAGGTCAGTTTTGCTGTTAGCTGCCTGGTCGGTTTCATCATCGAGTCCGTTATGCCTTGTCTTGGGGAAATTGGGCGTCCTTCCGAGGTGTTTAACCCTAGCCTGCGCCACGGCCAGGCAGGCCAATCGGAGTTGAACTTTTGAGCATTTTTGTCGTTGCGGCCACCGACGGGTTGATGGCCGTAGAGATCCAGTCATGTTTCGGAGGTCGCCAGTTGCTATCACGCTGCGTGGGGCGTGGCCGCGACTCGATTCAATAATGAGGATGTCGTCGGCCGAATTCCAGGAAGCAATCTGAATGTGTGTGTGTGTGTGTTGCGGCGGGTTGTTTTGCGATTTGAAACCAATGCATGAGCTCAGCACTGATGCGCCACAGATCGAGCCGCCTACACCGCGTTGGGTTTTCTCAATGACGTCCTCCGTCTCCCCCGTAGCCATTTTGGCTTAAGTCGCGTTGGCTCAAGCAGCGGCCCAATGGGTTTTGCGATAACCTAGGCTGTCACAGACATGGCGATTCCTTGTAAGCAAATTGCTATCATAATGTCGTTCCACATCGTCATCATGTTTGGAGGCGTGGCCGTCGTTTCAGTAATGCGCAAACGAGGGTCACACCAGCAGCGCTGCACGATACCGAGGGTCTAAGACGCCCTGGCGTAAGCCAGGGTCGGCGTGCTGTCCTGGGTCTTGGCGACCAGAACATGGCCCAATCCGTCATTTTTATCGGGCGTCGGCTCATTCCTAATGTAACCTACTCGATTAAAGTGAAGTTCTACCACTCAGGCAGCACATGGTTTCAGTCCTTGCTGCATAGTAGCAAGCATGTTACATACCTTAAGGAGTACACGAGGGATATACGATGTGCGGGCGGAAAATATTGTGAAGGTATCGCGGTTGACAGGGTCACCCAATTTTTCGTGGACCATTTCGCACATCATCCGTTGGTTTCACTACGTACCCTGTGACGTTTTGCAATGGTGGTCCTAACTGCACCGGGTCTTTCTTTCCTCATGTGGCAAGATCGCTTCCAATTATGCGCAACATATTTCTTGAGAGAAAACTATAGTGAAAATGGCGATGGCTGGAACGGATATGGCCATGGTCAAGCTTGATCGGGGGCCTGGCCACGCCGGGGGGAGGATAATTCCAAGCGAGATATCAAACAGTTGTGAGTTCCTCACTAAGCAGTACGCTACAATAGTTGCAGCTTTTTCGTGAGCTTTCATTTCCATTGCTGCATGTGAGGCGCGAAGAGATGCAGATGAACACAAGCGGCGTGCTGTATGATGTCGGAAGGTTCTTGGACGTCTCCGTCGACGACATCGCGGAGTCCAGTGTGACCAAGCTTGAGGGTCACGGTGAGGATTTACGTGCTTAGATCACGGATTTCAGAGAAGTGCTTGCATCTATCAGCAAATCGAAATCATGTTTGGCACCAATGCTTGCGTCTGACAAGGTGCGGGTATTCCCGCGTTGCACATGACGCGTCACCGGCTACGTCCCCGGTGCACAGGGAAGCTCGCGAACAGCAGGGCCCCCGGAGCCTCTGGCAGCCGGTGCTGTTACAGGCAATTTGCCAGGTTCCTGCATCCAAGAGCTGAAATTCTGCTCATGTCTCACTGTCATGGGTAGCATCTTTGACTATGACCATGTCTCACAGGGTATCCCCGCATTCGCTGCTGGCAAGAGTTGCGTTCCAAACGCCTAGCAGTTCCCGCAAGGCAACCCAGGTGGGCTCAGCGTGCTTCGAAAACAAATGACGTCATCCGTCTCCTGTCGTCGCTCTCCTCGCCCTCATCGTTTTAGTCCATGCCGCCATTGCCGTCATTGTCATCATTATTCACGACTCTCCTGTTGTTCAGCATTCTCTGTCGTTCCTTTTACTTCTCCTCTCCCGTTCCCATCCGACGGCCCAGTACACAGGCCGAGCAGCCACGCCGTGCCTCCGCGTTGCAGGTCGGCTTGCAGCCGAGGCGGGCGCAATTGGCGTTCTTTTCTTTCTCCTGGGGTCCCAGGGAAGTTCCAGAAGGGAGAGAGGTGCACATGCAACAGAGTACAGAGGGTATCGCTAAGGCCTTACGGCGACGCCGCCTGGGGTCGCCTGGGGACCTCGTTAGGGCCTCTTGGGCCTTGTGGACCCCGGGGGGGAGGGATGCTATTCTGACCCCCAGACCCCCCCCCCAGGACCCCCCGCAATACCCTCCAGGGACCTCCCCCCCTGGACCCCCCCCCCCCCCGTCCGGGAAGGGATCAAAGGGCAGGGGCTTCCCTTCGACTCAACTACGACGTTGCTCAATTTCGCTTAGGCTTTTTCGCTTTGGCTGGCGCGCTTAAGGAGGATGGCCCATGGAAAAGGTGGGAGCGGCGACGGCAACGACGACGACGACGAGTCAAACGAAACAGCCTCTCGCACACGCCGAGAGGGTCGGCGTATTTCACTCGTGACAGCGAGCGTCGTCGTGATCGCGACATGGTCCGTGGGGCCGCATTCTGAAGCGTCAATTGTCCACATGGTTACGCGTGGTCACTGATGACTGCCAGCCGATATCTGGTAACCCAGAAGCAGTTTGTCGTAGCCGGTCGATACAAATATCATGCCCCGTCTAGTTGATTTGGCCAGGTGTGCTGGACAGATTTGTGACAGCGCGCCAGTGGATAGCCCTGAATACACAAAAGGGGGGGGGTGCTCGCAAAACCCCCCCCCTCCCCCCCTTCAAAGGGGGGGTGTGATGTGATTTTTGACCCCCCCCCCTCCCCCCCTTAAGGGAGGGGGTGGTCCGACCCCCCCCCTCCCCCCTTGAAGGGGGTGGGAGTTCTGGACCCCTCCCCCTCCCCCCTTTGGCACTTGGAAGGGGGGGGGGTTCGACCCCCCCCCCCTCCCCCCTTTGCGCCGAACAGGGGGCTGTGGAGGGGGCTCCTCGGGTAGTGAGTAGAGTGTATAGTGTTTTGAGTAGCGATTGGTGAGTAGTGGGTATTTGATAGTGAGTAGTGCGCAGTGAGTCGTGAGTAGTGAGTAGTGGGTAATGGGTGGTGGTATTAGTGAGTAGTGCGTAGAGATTAGTGAGTAGTGAGTAGTGAGTAGTGGGTAGTGAGTAGTGGGGACGGAGTAGAGAGTAAGGAATTATGAGAAGTGAGTAGTGAGGAGTGAGTAGTGTGTAGTGAGTAGTGCATAGTAAGTAGCAAGCAGGGAGTGGGGATGAGAGAGTAGACAATAGCGAATAGCGAGGAGTGAGGAGTGATTAGTGAGTAGTGAGTAGTGCGCAATGAGTAGAGAGTAGTGAGTAGTGAGTGGTGAATAGCGAGTAGCGAGTAGGGAGTAGCGAGTAGTGAGTAGTGAGTAGCGAGTAGGGCCTTGTGAGTAGTGGGTAGTGAGGAGGGAGTAGTCAGGAGTCAGTAGTGTGCAGTCAGTGAGTAGGGAGTAGTAGTGCGTAGCGAGTAGGGAGTAGCGAGTAGTGAGTAGTGAGTAGTGAGTAGTGGCTCGTGCGTCGTTAGTAGTGTGTAATGGTAAGCAAATATTTCGTATTGGGTAGCGAGTAGTGGATCGTGAGTAGTGGTTTGTGGGCAGTGCGTAGTGAGTAGTGAACTGTGAGTACTCAGTAGTAAGTCGTGGATCGTGGTTCGTGGGTAGTGAGTAGTGCTTAGTGAGTAGTGAGTAGTGGGCAGTGAGTAGTGTTTAGTGAGTAGTGAGTATTGAGTACTGGGTAGTGCGTAGTGAGTAGTGCGTTGGGAGTAGTGAGTAGGGAGTAGGAAGTAGTGAATAGTGAGTAGTGTGAGCGTAGTGATTGGTGAGTACTGGGTAGTGAATACTGCGTATTGGGTAGCGAGTAGGGCGGTGGGAGTAGCGAGCAGTGAGTAGTGAGTGTTGTGTAGGGAATAGGGAGTCTGGGGGTAGCGAGTAGTGGATAGTGAGTACTGAGTTGTGGGCAGTGAGTAGTGAATCGTGAAGTGTGAGTGGTGAGTAGTGGATAGTGGTTAGTGGGTAGTGAGTAATGATTTGTGATCAGTGAGTAATGGGTTGTGAATTGTGTTTAATGAGTAGCGAGTAGTGAGTAGTGAGTAGTGATTTCTGATTAGTGAGTCGTGGATCGTGAGTTGTTTTTAGTGAGTCGTGAGTACTGAGGAGTGGGTCGGTGAGGAGTGAGTAGTGAGTAGTGCATAGGTGTATGTATGTTTGTATGTGTGTGTATATATATATATATAATGTCGGAGTGTTGGGCCCCCGGCCCCCCCGGGACAGAATGACAAATGGGGCCACCCCCTTGCTAACCCCATTTAGCCCCCGGAGCCGGGGACCTGTTGTGTGCCTGTTACAGGCTGGTCTCACCCCCTGGAACGCTCCATGGACGAGCCAATATGCCTTCCGGACGGCCCAAGATATATTCAAGACGGCCCAAAAGGCTCCCAAGACGCCCCAAGAGGCCCCCAAGAGGCCACCCAAGAGTGCCCCAAGAAGCAACAATAGTCCCATTCCCTTCGGAAAACGTAGATTTTTAGCATATTCGCGTCTTGGGTTTTCACAGCGTCCACGATGGCCCAAGAGGCTCCCAAAACGGCTCAGGAGACACCGAAGAGGGCTCCAAGACAGCCCAGGAAGGGCCCAAGAGCCCAAGATGGGTCCCAGAGCAGGAAAATCGAGTTCAAATTTCGAGCCTTCGGCCCCAGGAGGCGCCCAAAGGCCCCAAGACGTCCCAAGAGGCCCCCAAGAGGCCCCCAAGACATCCCTAAGAGGTTCCCAGGAGGCCCCAAAGAGGCCCAAAAACTGCTTGCAATACACTTCCGAGAGGCTTCGAAGATGCATACAAGACGCTCCCCAAGAGACGCCCAAAATTGGCTCCAAGATGCTCCCAAAACGTATACGTTTTATACAAAAATACTGCAAAGCATATGTTCTTTCATGGATTTCGCGCTCCCTGATGGCGCCACAGAGGGCCACGCGGGGCCAACTTCTTTGATTTTTGCTCCGTTGCTGAAGGGTTTCCATGTTGCCCCCTTCTAGAGCTTCCTGCGATCCAACACAGCCCAGGCGGCTCCGACGACCGCCCCGAGGCACCTTCTGCATCTCTCCCTCACGCCCAAGCCCGCCCAAGAGCGCCCCGACAACGCTACACAAAACGGCCAGGAGGCATCCAAGAGAGGTTCAGAACGTACCCAGCACGAGGAAACCAGGTCGCCACGACCCCGAACCTGCCTCCCCAAGAGCTTCTGGAGGAGCCCAAGACGGCCCAAAAGGGCCCCAAGAGAGCGCAAAATGGCCCGCGCGCGCCCGAGATGGCCCAAGAAGGCTCTTAGGTGACCTTGGGAGCCCAGGAGGTCCCGAGATGGATCCATTTGCCTGCGGATGCCCGGAAACTCCATGGCCCGCAGTATGAATTCAATGACACGCACTGGAACAGTCCGCAACACGCTGTCACGCCCTCCCCCCAACATCTGCCGCCAGTCCAAACTGCATTTTCTTGGTTCAACTCACCCTCCAGCGCTGCTGTTTCGAGGCGAGTCCAAGTTGGCGCATCTTGCCGCCTCCACGCATTCAATCACTGCATGATTCCTGTGAGCAAAAGTCGATCGCAGCCGCAGTCCACGCTTGCCAAAGCACAGTTCGAACACGCAGCTCTCACAGCACGCCTCGGGGACGCTCATTCGAACCTCATCGAACCCGGCGGAAGCAACTATGATATCGCAATTCTTACATGCAATTTCACCCGCCAGAACGTTACTACTTTTCCTTTAACGGCAGAAACCATTCAAGAACGCTTGGGCCATCCGTACGCTCCGCACTGCACGGTAGAAGGCGCATTTACTACTGCCGCTTTCCTGATTCGCACACCTTCTGCAGGAGGTCATTGGATAGCATTGCTGCCGACTGCGCACGTCCGCGGATTCGAGACTGCGTCTACAACAGCGTTGCTGTGTGATTCCTTGCGCGCTTCCCCTCACTACGCACAACTTCAGGATGTGGAACAGATTTTGGCAATCTGCACCTTCGAAGCCTCGCGGGCCGCCTCTCGACAGTGGCAGTGTTTCTTGATCGGCGCTCCCACGAATTATGCCCCGTCTGGCAGTTAAGCATCACATCGCGCACTGTAGAAGAAATGATGAAGCCTGCTGCTGCCACCACAATAGAAGCTGCCTGTCTACTCCTGCCCAGTGGCTACCAGCATTCTTCCAGAGTCTTGCCGAAGCGTTAGTGCGCCACTTCTGTGTTTTCGACGCCGAACCACCCTGCTACGACGCTGGCGCGCGCATGCGGGCACAGGATTTCAGAGCTTCCGCGCTTGAGCAGCTGTCTTGAAAAGTCGTCTCATGCACCTGTTCGCGCGCACGCTCTTCAACGTCTCAGGGCCGACGGGCTCCTGTTTCCTGGTCGGCAGGCGACGCGCGCCAAAGTATACAGGAAATCGCGCGTCGTGGCAGCGCTATGCCATTCGCGCGTGGCTTGTACCGAGGAGCACATTTGTAATCTATCTAACTGAAGCCCTTGCCTTGCGTGATTCGGCGAAGTTGGCTACTGCAACGCGACCATGGCGAAACGCATGGCGCGTCGTTTCTCCCGACTTCAGATTTCTTCGCTGCGACTGCCCTGGACCGACTTGCCGAGAGCGCTGGCGGAAAAAAAACGTTGGCGCATTTTGTTGGGGCATTTTTTTGCGTGCTTTCACCGTTGGGCTCGATATCCGGAGGGTTGCGCCCTGTGCCGCCAACCCCCGAGGCTGACCCACGTACCGACCATTTTGGGAGCAGCTTTGGCGCAATGATGCGGGATTTCGGAAGCATGTTCGACAATCTGGGGCCGGTTTTGGACCATATTTTGTGAATTTTTGGGCCCTCCTTGAAGGCTCCTTGGAACTATCTTCGGGGCTCTTTGAACCATGTTGGGCGATTCGGGCGAAATTTTTGGGGCCTCTTGGAGGCCGCGTCCAGACAGCCTGGGCATACTCGGTGGCTCTAGAGCCGTTTTGAATTATCTTTGGTCGTTGTCATCGTCATTATCGTCCTCATTGTGTCGGAGCATAACGTGGTTCGCGGGGCGAGCACACCAGTGGAATCATTAACCTTGTTCCCGAGATGTTTAGGCTGGCGGCCGGGCGTACATGGCGATCTGGACGGCGCCCCCTGGACTCACCTGAGGAGGAGGAGGAGGAGGAGGGGGAGGAGGAGGAGGAGGAGGAGGAGGAGGAGAGGAGGAGGAGGAGGAGGAGGAGGAGGAGGAAGAGGAGGAGGAGGAGGAGGAGGAGGAGAAGGAGGAGGGGAAGGAGGAGGAGGGAGGAGGGAGGAGGGAGGAGGGAGGCCTTCATCGTTTATTCGGCTTTCCGACGCTCCATGACGGCCCAAGAGGCCTGGAAGACCGCCCCAAGACGGCCCAAGAAACCCCCTGGAGAGCCCCAAGACGGCCCAGGGGGACGCCGAGACGGCCCAAGAGACGCCCGGGACGGCCCAGGAGAGCCTCAAGATGGGCCCACGAGAGGAACCACGAACTGAAAAATCGAGTTCTCCGCCCCAGCTTTCCTCATTTCCCTTCTTCCATTCATGCTCCCTCCGCCCACCCCTGGTTGAGTCGTCGCTCGTCCATCCTTCCGCCCGTATCCCCGCTTCTCGCTTCTTCTCTCCTCATCCTTCTTGGTTTCTTCCTTCCTCCCTTCCTTTGAGGCAGAGACCTGATGGCACTTTCGACCGCCAGCCCAGGTTCCCCGGGATCTCTCTTTCTGCTCCCCATCCCTGGGTTCTTTGGGTTCCTGGGGTGTCTCGGGTTCGTCAGGATCCTTGGATTGTTTTGCACTGCGTTGCATTATGCTGCATTGCGTTGCTTTGCAGCGCCTTTACCTCGTCCTCCCCGCCTCCCCAACCCGCCACATCGTCTTCCTCCTGCTTCCTCCTCCCTCTTTTTTCTTCGTTCTCTTCCGCCCCCTCGCCCCCCTCCATGATCCCTGGTGGGAGGAGAGGATGAACGGGAAGGAGGAGGGGGAAGAGATTGGGAAACCCTCTCTGAGGAGGTCGCCCCGACCAGAAGAGAGAGAAAGAGGATAAGGAGGATGATGATAGAAAGGAGGGAACGGGGACGACGGGGAGGAGGAGGAGGAGGAGGACGCGCACGGAGGGGATGGAAGGGATGGATGGAGGAACGCGAGAGGCGACGGCTGCACGAGGAGGAGGGAGGACAGCGAGGAGGAGAGGAAGGATCAGGACGATGATATGGATCAGTGCAAGGAGGAGGATAAGAGGAGGAGTAGACGCCAATCCCAGTAGGCAAACGACAAGTGTCGTCAATGTCCAGGAAGTAATTTTCCTGCTCCCCTCCTGGAGCAGAGGAGCCACGAAACCAGCGCAAGCGGGCGCCAACCTCAACGCACAACACGGCATGAATTCCATGTCTCGTGGCAGCATTTGGGCCTGCGCTAGAACCTAAGCGCGCGCGAAGCGCGCGCGTGGTTCTAGTTAGGGAATAGTGATTAGTGGGTAGTGGGTAGTGAGTCGTGGGCATTGAGTAGTGAGTCGTTAGTAGGAGTAGTGAGTAGTGAGAAGTGAGTAGCGAGTAGCGAGTAGTGAATTGTGGGTAGTGAGTAGTGCGTAATGAGTAGTGACCGCTTTTTGGGGTTCGGGTTTGGGTTTGGGGTTGAGGTTGGGGGTCAGGGTAGGGGTGAGGATTAGTGTTCGGGGTGGTCGGGGTCGGGTTCCGGAGACAGGGGGCGCCGTGGCGAAAGGGGGGGAGGGGGGGGGGTCGAATTTGGCGGCCAAAGGGGGAGGGGGGGGGGTCGGAACCCCCTCCCTCCTCTTTTGAAAGGGGGGGAGGGGGGGGGTTCCCGACGACTGATCGGGAAATGGGGGAGAGGGGGGTGGGGTCCCCGACGACGGATCGGGGAAGGGGGGGGGGTCCGCCCCCCCTTTGGGGGGGACATCCAGCGGCGCGCCCTCCAGATTTGTGGTATAGGCAGTTTCAGAGCGAACAGCATTAATTCAATGGCCTTCGGCCCATCCCGCCATCGTGCTTGGGCTGTGGGTATGAATCCTATGGGATGTTCGTTGGGTTCTCGTGGGAGGCTTCTCGGGGGCCTCTTGGAGGCAGTTTGGAGGCCTCTTGAGGGCCGTTTTGGAGCCTCTTGGGTTTCTTTTGGGCCTCTAAGGGCTCCTCTCGGCCTCTTAGGGCCTCTTGGGGGTCTCTTAGGGGCTTCCTGGGCACCTCTTGGGGCCTCCTGGCGGCCTTTCGGGGCGAACGGCTCGGATTTTCGGTTCGTGTTTCCTCTCTGGGTCATCTTTGGGGCCGTCTTGGGGCGCTCTTGGGCTGTCTTGGGCGCCTTTTGGGCCGTCTTGGGCTCCTCTTAGGCCGTCTTGGGGCCCTCTTGGAGGCCTCTTCGGCTGTTGTGGGGTGGTCTTGGGGGTCATTTGGACCGTCTTGGAGCGTCGGACAGCCGAAAAGGCGAGAACACGAACATCCTTCAAAAACAATCGAACATCAAGGATTTTTGCCTCTTGAGGCCCTCTTGGGAGGCCTCTTGGAGGCCTTTTGGGGTGTCTTGCAAGCCTCTGGGGCCATCTGGAAGCTGTCTTGGGCGCCTTGGTGTGGTCGTGGGGCGCCTCGGGCCCCGCCTGGGCCGCGTTCGGGGCCTCTCGCGGGGCCCTCCCGGCCCCCGTCCTCTGGGGGGCCCTCTTGGGCCCGAGAGGATCGCGCGACGAGCTGCGGGGAGGCCCACAGAGGGCACGCGGGAAGCCCTCAGAGCTCTGTGCACGCGGGGGCTCCGGGCCCCGCCTCGGGAGCGAGGCGTGGGGCTTCGGGGACCTGGGCCCCAGGCCCGGGGCCGCCCGCGCCGGTGCCCAGCGGCACGGGGGCGGAGATCTCTGCGTCCATGGGCGCTGGGCAAAGCCGTGGTGCGTGGCGATCTGCGCACGTCGAGCCGCGTCTCCGTGGGCACCGGCGGCGCAGCACAGTGTGTGTGGGGCGTGCTCGTCAGGGTGGGGTGAGACGGCTGCAGCAGTGCACGGTTGGGGTGCGAGAAAGGGTCGGGCGGCGGGCAACGCGACAGCAGCGTCTGGTAGTCATACACCGAAGGGGCTCCTGCATCAGGCACAGCGAACGCGTTATGAGCAAGCCAGGAGCTCAGCATTCGGACGATAGTCGTCGCCATGCGTCAGCCGTGAATGTGCAGCATGTAGTATTTGGAGACCCTGGAGAGATACTGGTGGTCCCTAAATTCAAGTAAACATTGAGCCAGATGCCGTGTCTTTCTTTTCGTACTGAGGAGCTTAGGGTCAGGTGGTTTTGTCGTAAGACAAACGTGCCGCAAGTGTATATTTTCTTGAGTGTAAGAAGCACCGCCCCGCACGACTCATTCTTTGTGCCCCACTCCCAGAGGTTTCGAGCGAACCGCACCGCAAGACGGCAGAGCGCCTTGGGGCCCGCCCAGGGTCTCCATTCTTGCGCGCGGCACCCGTGCCGGATGATTCGACTGGGCCTTTTTTTCCCCAAGGAGGGACATGCTCCGAGGAGGAGGAGGAGGAGGAGGAGGAGGAGGAGGAGGAGGAGGAGGAGGGGGAGCGGGGGGAGCGGCGCCCCGTCGCCGGAGCGGGACTGCTGCGGCGGGGGTGCCCGCGCGCCAGGGCACGCGGGCGCCCATGCGCGAAGCGGTCCTCTTGCCTCGGCACCTCGGCGTCGGCCACATGCCACCACCTTCTGCCTCCTCCTCCTCCTCCTCCTCAGCGCCGGCCACATGCCGAGAGCTGCGTGGGGCATCCAGGGTCCATGGTCTCCCACGCTGCTGCCCCAGGAGTCGCGCTCTCGCTTCGGTGCCTTGTCGCGCCGTGCTTCCACTGCAGGTTCACGATCTCGCATCAGGCGTTAGCCGTTCCACCGCTCTCTCGGCGTTGAAGAAGTTACGATTTTGGCAGAGCGACTTTTCGGCGCAGCCCCAGCCCAATTGCAGCACGGAGTTATTCGTTCCCGATGCGGTTGTTCTTTTTCTCGTCCTGAATTCTGCGCTAGTTGCTTCCCTCTTGGTCTCGCTCTTCTATTGCTCGGTGTCATTCTGGAGTCTCGCTGTGACCAGCGCCCCCATCATAGCTTCGAACGGGGGGCCGCGTGTCCGTACTTCTCTTGGTGCCGCCTGTGAGTGCCGCGAGGCCAGCGGCGGCCGTCGCAGCGCCAGTGGCACGCAAGCCAGCGCCGCCGAAGGCCTCGATGGGCATCAA